GAAGGTTGCGTCTTCAAAGGAGGGAGAGGCAATGTGTTTGTCCTTGTAGTCACCCTCTTCGTTGTGAACGGTCACTTTGGGGTCGTGGTTGTCACCGTTGGTGAATGGAAGGAAGGTGGTTTTTGGAGCATTATTGTTGTCGGGCTGGCCATGATCAAACGGAAGTTGAAAGTTTCTTTGGTTTTTGAGCTTCTATGCTTGGATAGGAGAAAGAACGGGGGAGCAAAGAGTTTACATAGACAACACTGTTAATCTCACTTGATCAGAAAAGAATCAGCAGCCTGCCACACGTCGTGAGCTCCTGTGTTCACTGGTGTTGTAGAGGAGGAAGGGGTGTACCTGCAAGGTACTCCGATGCTTAAGTGAGTAACGGAGTTAGAAAGCGCAAGTACAAAGAGAATAGGTGTAGAGAATGGAATACTTGAACCTCTAGTGAAAGAGGGTATTTATAATGTGCCCCAAGCATAGGGCCAACGATTACATTGCATTGGGCCAGATTGCCAAGCCCAACACAAGTAACTGCGAGGACTTACATGGCGTAGGGAAGATCAGCATGTGGTCTTCGCCATGGATCAACTGTCTCGTGATCTTCGGAAGGTGGGATAACCATATCTTTTGGAGGTGGGTAATTGCTTGATGATGTATCCCCATGTGGGGAACACGTGGAGAACACATGGAGAACGTGGAGAAAGCGTGTGAGCTCTTCTTGCGCCAAGTAGCGATATACCCGACTGGAGGGTCTTGTTGAGAGGTGTGCCCGACATGGGAGGATTGGACCATATTGGGCCTCCTCAAAATAGTATTGGGTTGGGCCTGCCCGACTGAGGGGCGGTTCTCGACCCAGTCCAGAACATCATGCTTTACAGAGCTTCATTAATAGTCTTCAAAACTCAAAGTTGCAAAGTATGTATGCAAAACACTAAAGTTTCGCCTTTGATGCTCATATCTTCTCTGGCCTGGTGCATTAGTTCCAGAAGATCTAAGATTGTTACCTTTAGATATTTTTCAGTTTATTAAACAAAAAGGTAATAAGTGCCATATTCTCTTATATTGTGTGCACTTATAGACTGAACACTTTTTTCCCTTATGATTTATGTCTTTTCTAAACTTTCTATATTTTTTTTAAATCCTAAACAATTATTATTTATGGAAGATTTTTTACTAGATAAAATTAGGTTAAGTTTCTTTTTTCCTTGATTGAACTTTCCTAAGGTCTCACGAAGTCTAGTTACTTCTTTTATAAGGGAGTCACATCACTTTCATTGATATTTCTAAACTTAGTTATTTCTATCCTATAAGAAACATTTATTCCTTTAAGATGTCTTAAAGATTCCTTTAGACTTAAGGTACGTTCTCTCAGTTTATTATTTTCTTCCACTAAGTGATAACTCATTCTAAACAGTTGTTCATAAGATGTTTTGATATCTGGCATAGTATCTCCCTCGTAGGATACCTTTAAGAAAATTTCATATTTTTTCATTTTTTCCTTAAGGTTGATGTCTCTCTTCCTCTTCTTTGTTCGAGTATTGAAGATCTTTTTCATCTTCTTTGTCATTCTTTAAACAAGAGGGTCCTTCATTGAATGTTGAATCTTTCAAGAATCGTTCAACTATAAATTATGTTCTTTCAAAGGATTTTAGATGAGTTGTATGATAGGAGTATGATGAGGATGATGATTCTTTAGTTTGGATTCCTTCATCTTTAAGTAATTGAACTAGACCATTCAACTTTTCTACAATTTCCTTCTTTATTGATTTTTCCATAAATTCATGAAGGCTCTCATCTTTTCATTTAAGAATTGGATAAAATTTCCAATTCTTAATTCTTATATATTTGTTAGTAATACAATTTCTAATATTTCTAAATTTAGAAAAGCATCCATGATTGATATCTTTATCTTCTTCACCTCGTGTGTTCATTCTCTTATTTGATACTTGTAGAAGCTCCATATATCATTTCAAGAGTATTTCACATTTTCTTGGCACTATGGTAATGATGAACATAGAAAATTTTTATATCATCTAGAGACATAATTATAAAGCTTTTAGTTTAAAAAATTCATCTTAAACTTTTTATTTTCCTCTCCGGTCAAAAGGGACTCTGCTTTATTTACTTCTTTACCATTTATTTTATGAGTATAAATGGACCATTGACTATTGTTTTCCATAATTCATGATTTATGTTTTAAAGAAAAACTCTAAACCTAACTTGCCAAATATTAAATTTACTATCATTGAAAAGTGGTGGTGTGTTTAGAAAAGATCTCTTGTCGGAAGTCATCTTCCTCCCAAGACGATTATTCCTTATAAAGAAATTAGCATCCAATGTCATTTGTTGGACATGAGACTTCACACACAAGAGGGGGTGAGTTGTGTGGTTCAGAAAAAAGAAATTTTGAAAATTTTGGGAAGTAAAATCAGAGTTTAAAATGTTTTAACTAATTAACAGCAGAAAAAATAAATTGCAAAAAATAAATAGCAGAAAAGTATAGAGTTAAGGAAAAGAGATGAACACCACGATGTATAGAGGTTCGGTCAAATAAGAAAACAAATTAATCATCTCCCTAGAAATTGATCTTGAGAGTATCCAATATATGTTGAGAGCTTTTAGTAGGAAAGACTCACGAACCCCTTATACGAGAAAATGATGGTTGACCTCCAACAAAATAATACAAAACTTCGAAATATAGCAATTTGAGTTATTTCTTCCAAACGGTATATTGAATTGGTTAGTCTTCTCTCCACACAGTAGATTGAAGTGGTTAGTCTTCTCCCCATAAAAGAGGATCTTGAAGCGGTTAGTCTTCAAGTTTCTAAACCTTGCAAGATTTTATACGAGTTGAGCTCGCGAACCTTAAAACCTTGGTTTTACATAGAATAACCAATAACCTGTGATATTTTAATATATGGATAATCTCTAACCTACCAAGTTTTTAATACCGGGATGAACATATACCTAATCTTGGTTTTATACTAGGCTAACCAAGAACCTGATGAAAGCTTTATACAGACTGAACTTTCGAGCCTAAACAGAGACTGAATAACACAATTCCCAAACCAAAGCTTTTAATGGATTTAACTTCTAACCCATATAAATCCCTAAATGGATGATATTCAATTAAGGTGTATACAAAAGATTTCCTTGGTGAACTTACAATTTTACCCTTTCAAAATTATAGAATATCCTCACTCACAAAAGGATTTTTTTCACAGAGGCACTATGGCTAAAATATTAGTGAGAAAAAGTAAACAAAATGTTGAGAGAGAGAGAGAGAGAGAGAGAGAGAGAGAGAGAGAGAGAGAGAGAGAGAGAGAGAGAGGTGAGTTGTGTTAAAATATGGCTCTAGATGAAAGGAAATGGGGAAATGAACCTCTATTTATAGGCTAAAGGTTATCTCAAAAAGGAATTTTAAATAAATGCATTTTATAACAATCTAATCGATTGGCACATGCTTACAATCGATTAGAAGATTTTATAAAATCGATTGTAAGTGTAAAGAAAAAAGATATATGGTTGTTGCACATCATTAAGGTGTTGTTCTAATCGCTTGAGACTCAATTTTGAATTGCGCTAATCGATTAGGCAAAAGTCTCAATCGATTAGATATGTCAAAATTTTGCCAATAGCTATTTTGATAGTTACTAGTTCATCTTGCACAACTTCAAGAAGTTTTAGAATATATTTTTTTTGGTAAAATCAGTTTGAAAGTATATTTTTAAGAAAATATATTTTAGTGTATATGTGCTTTAGCCATGGACTTTTAGGATAAAACCTTTATGCTTTACAATTTGTTCATTCACTACTAAATTATGAGGGTTCTTAGCACTTCAAGAATTTTTCATTTTTCAGATGCTTTCCCTTCTGTAGATACTTGCTTGAGTAGCTTGAGAAGAGATTTTAGTTACATTCCATTTTGATTGCCATCATCGAATAGTAAAGTCTATCAAACTTTAATATATAGGTTTGCATCTTTATCCACTTAAATCGTTTTTGCTTAACTTGTAATAAGATATTAGTTATCGTCATCAAAAGTTGATATTCTTGTTAAAAACATAGCACCTGCAAATCAAGATTTCACATTTTCTTTTTATAATGACAATCTTTTAAGGGAGGGTAAGAGAAAAAATACATATATATATTTAAAGTAATGAAACCCCCTCTAAGTTAAACAGAAAATATGCCATACCTCTTAAGACTCTCAGGCTGAGAATATATTTCTCCTTTTGTCAAAATCAAAAAAGTGGATAAAAATACATTTGTGAAAAATAAATATACAGACATTTTAGAGAAGGAAAAAACAAGCACTTATATTATTAAGAAATTGAATAACTGAAGAAAATTTGTACAAGAAGGAAAATAACAAAACATCTAATAAACACTTAATTCATCTCGACATCTAAAAACTATCACTATCCAAATCAACACTGAAATGTAACAAAAGGAAAAGCAACTACAACAATGATTCTTTTGAATTTACAAATAAGCACTAGAGATAATTTATTCTGGTATTATCAATTGATAGTTTAATATCAAGAGTACAATAACAACCAAACATAGTCTAGTTAGTAACTATTTAGAGCAATGCTCTTGATTATAAAACTAATAATCCAAAAAACAGCCATAACAAACTTCATGATTCAAATAACTTCTTTTTATTATAAGTTTATAACACAAACATTCAACTTTTTATATCAAAATACACCAAATTGATACAAGTTGTCCTGTCCTAATTTTTACAGCAAATTAAAATATACATTTTCTATCCAGGCATAAATCTGCATTGATTACAATACAATTCTAAAATTACAACACATAAAATTGCAAAAGTTTTCTATTTCCAAAAATTTTATGTCATGTCATTTCTCTGTTCCTTGCTGGTGGCTGATAATGGTGCAGGCTAATGGAATTCCATGTGATAAATAAATGGAATATACATTTCAGCTTATGTGGCCATTCTGCTCCAAAATCCTTCTGTCAACACCACAATCATCGTATCAGTTCTAGCTTGCTTTGTAGGCATACATGTATCCATGAAGCTTTCTTACTTCTTCTGATGACTCGGTTAGTAAGTGATCGACGTAGAGACAGATAGTAGATGCACTGAAGCAGAATAACAGAACAATGAATACATCTATTTAACTAATGTTTACAAAACAAACAAAGACAGACTGCGAAATTGAATTATGGCTTACCCAAGAGGCCCAAGTGGCAGCCATATGATATCCCAACGGAACTTTGCCAACCTACACAGTAAAAGATGAGAAGCAGCACATGAAATAGGAGGTATAGACAGAAGAAAACACAACTGAAGAGTGTACTGAAAGAGCACTACAGTAGGGCAAACTACTATTTTTGTAGTAGAATTTGTACATTCTTCTATCATCTACTTTTCAATTTTTAGAAATGATTTTGATTAGTATCAAAAGTAGAATTCATTATGACCTCCAATTGATTGTACTTGAAACTAAGATTAAGCGTGAATTTTATTCTGAAATGTATTATTCAACTCGCTTTTGCATAAATGTATTCAAACATAAATCACTTTTAACAAAAATCAATTTTACATAATGTTGGAATTTCCGCCTTCATTGAAGTCCGGCCCTAGTCGCCTAAATTGCGGCACTTGGCTTGCCTTCATTGCAGCCTCCAACACTTTCATTATGTTGGGTTTGAAGGGGTGAATTTAATCTCACATTGCTTAAAAATATGACATGCGTTGTGTTTATAGTGGGGGCAGTCCTCACCCTATATACCAGTTTCTTGCTTTGATTTATGTTCGATGATAGACCACTTAACACTAAATCTATCTTGATAATTTGACCAATATTTTTTATTTTTTCTGTCTATCTTTATCTCTTAGGCTTTGTTTAGGAGTTTGTTTAGAAGTTTAGAGTAGAGGGGAGGGGAGGGGAGGGTTTTGAAAAAAAGGGAAGGATTGGGTGAAAAAATGGAGGGATTTTGGTAGAGAAGGGTTTGGGGAGTTTGGAGTGTTTTGGAGGACTTTGATAATCTGTTATAATATTCTCAAAATTAAAAATATGTTAATGATAAACATTTATCATTCTAACAAAATCATTCTTTCAAAAAATGTTAAAAATTTCTCTATATTTTCTTTAAATTTTCTTTTTCCGAAGCCCTCCTTCCCCTCCCCTCCTAACTCGCAAACAGAGCCTAACTACTGGACTATCATTTGACTCGTCAAGTCCCCTACCAGTTCTCTGGGAGTCTCGTCCACATATGGCCAAACTCCAATCCACCTAAAATAAGACCTCGCTATCTTTTCTACAATGTAGCTAACTCAACTTTTTCTCTAATGATTTAATTCCTACTTTTGTCCAGTGCAACCATTTATTCACCATAACATTCACATCTCTGCAGAAACAACCATAGCATACCCTCTTGATAGCCTTTTTCTTATTCAATATTTAATTGCATACAACATTGCAGGTCATATAAATCGTGGTTTTTAGATTCAAATCATGAAACAAAATTTATTTTTCGATTTGTTAATCGAATCTTATGAATTGTAAGATACATTATCGATTATAAAATGACACTTTTAACATAGACGAGTGACATAGCAACATTATAAGTTGATGATATGCCATATACAAACCCCAAAGTTAATTAAGACTTGAGTTATGAATGAAATTACAAAAGAAAAGTTGATGACTGCACCACGTTTTAGTAGTGATTCTTTAGAATAGGTTTATCATGGTGAATCAGGATTCAGTATGAGATTTATACCCAAAATAGATACACTATGGATTCTTATCAATTAAGCTCAGTTTCATATGAAATCTAGATATGAATCGCAATGTATTGTAAGATACTGACAACACATGATATAAAGTCTTAAGTTTCTCGAGTATTATTTTATTTCAATGTTCCATCCATCCCGCCTGGATCCTATGGTTAACATACTATTGATTTCCTCGTCATTAGTAACCATATGAACACATGTTACTTAAAACATAAGGCTTTTCGTCTTATATGCTCTTCAAATCTCACCTCTAAGTTAATATTTGCATGCCAAGATAGTGTAAATCCATTCAAAAACTCACATTGGTGTAATGTAAGTGAAAACATATTTTCAAAATGATTTAAGTCGTATATGAGAAATAACTTCTATCCGATGTTAAAAACATAAAATAGAATTTAAAAGATATATTATAAGCAATATGCGACTTGTGAGCATGAAGTTAAAGTGCAAGTCATGCATAGGAAATATGAATTCATAGTTTTTTGTTGAACATCTAGACCTAAGACTATATTATCCACAAAAAGTGCATCATGGCACCTGTCTAACATATTCTATAAGAACATCTAGAACAATGATGAACCATATGAAGTATATAAAATGCATTTGTTGGTGCTTATCTAAAAACTTTACCTCGACATGTAGTATAACCAGAAAACTGCCAGAACAGTGCTAATATACCATGAGTACCAGATCCATCTCCTGTGAAGCATTGACTCGTGATGCAGTCCTATGATGGCAAATGAGAATGCTAAAACAGCCACCCAATCTGTAGAAGTTATACAGTTAACGAAGTGTACAGTGATAGTCCTCAAAATTTGAAAAGTGAATAACATATTATATTTCACCCTCAATTGTAAATTGCAGATTAGTACAAGCATAGATAAAAATTCGAGGGGTGCAAATTCAATATAAAGGATCTAAAATCCAAAATTATATAGTAAAAGGATGATGCGGTAAGAATCAAAGAAATAGGCCATGATACAAATAGGAGGCTGAAGCATATGTATAAGATCCGGGATAAAAAGAGAAATGAACCTGCACATATAATCATCCATGAGTATATCTCCTTCATGAAGTAAGCATGATGCCGCTGTTCATCAGAAAGCAAAGAATTGCAGCAACAGATTTAGTAAAAGAAGAAGTAAGGACTACGGTGCTATAAGTTTGGAAAGAAAAAAAGAGTATGAACACAAGCATTTCCATGTGGCCACTTCTAGAGGAACATGATCACAAATAACTACATAACAACTTATTTTACAGATGAATTATTGTTTCTTTATCATGAAAAAGGTTTTTATAATTACAATTGAAACTAGAAGAGTTGAAGCATACCAGTTCCCATGGAGATGAAACCTGGTGGAAGATGGAGTACAAAAGAAACAGGATGTAACAGATGACTAGAGCCACAAATACAGTCTATTAAATCAAAAAACAAAAACAAAAAACAAGGTTAGCACAAGTTCAATATTTATAGATGAAGAAAAGACAAATTGGTACTCGAACTTGTAAGCTCGGATCAAAATTGTCCCTTAGTTTTGTGAATTGGCAAATAAATCTTTGATATTGCAAACAATCATTCAAAATGATCACTCTATGAACATTAAGCTTGAGACTGGGTATAAAAACATTAAAATGCGACTATTTTGACAACAATTTACAATTTCATGTTGAAGCACAGAGACACGGAAACCACGACGCCTACACTAACGCGTCAACATCGGTAATAATTTTTAGTAAACTAAACGGTTTTGGACACATATTTTTCAGAGGTGTCGGTATCATTGCTACATAAGAGATTGGTATTCCATACACCAATTCACATAAATTAGGGACTATCTTGACCTATGTTTACAATTTCAAATATCAATTTTACTATTCAATCTTCAATCAAATGTGGTATTGCATGTGAAATTTGTAAAATGTACCCTCCAAAAGCGACTCTGCTGAGCTTGATTATTTTCTAAAGAACGAACCAATTCTTCCTGCTCTGTACATCAAAATCTAAATCATTATCAATTAGAATAAGAACATGAACCAATTGAAAAATTGAGAAAAATTTGAAATCATTTGAAGTTTAATGCAATCCAAAATAGATGATAGAGAGAAGAAAAAGACCTTGAGAGTCGAGGGGGCGAGAATCTTCGTCGTGAACCGGAAGAGAGAATTTGTCATCTTCCGAATTCTTCCGGAACTTTCTTGCAAGCTTTTTCATTTTCTCGGTTCTTTAATTTTGCTTAACCCGTGGCTGCTTTTTCCCACAAACAAGTTTGGAAATTCTATTCTTGAAATGAGGTCATTTTAAACTTGGAGGTTAACTTTCTAATTGCATTCACATGTAAGTAATATTTTTTATTTTTTTTATTTGTAAAAAACATTAAGAAAACAATGTCCATTATGTTAAATTCTAGTGATATTTTAAATGATTAGATATATTATTGGTCTGACCTGATCAGTAGGGAATTAATGAACCGCCACGCGTCTTTGATCTACTGTATGTTCACTGGTGGTAAGAAGGAGTAGGGGGTGTACCTGCAAGACACTCTGATGCCAAAGTAAGGAATTGGACAGAGTGAGAGCAAATACAGAAAGTAGGTTGAAAATTGAATACCTGACCCTCTAGTGAAAGAGGGTATTTATAGTGAGACCCCAACGCAGGGCCAACAGTCATTTGCGTTGGGCTGGATGACCAGGGCCAACCCAAGTGACTGCTAGGGCTTACGTGGCGTAGTGAAGATCAGGACGTGGTCTTCGCCCTAGGTCAACTGTCCCGTGATCTCCGAAAGGTGGACTTACCTGCTCTTTCGGAGGTGGATAGTTGGATGATGACGTGTCCTCGCAGAGGGGAGCACGTGGAGAACGTGTGAGGCACGCGTCTTTCTGCTCGACGGGGAAGACTCCTGCCCGACGGGAGAGGTGCTTTGCCTGGAGAGGGCAGTGTCTGGTCGACAGAGGACATGTGCTCGATACATATGAGGAAGGCTGCTTTGGGTCTTTCCCCAAGTGTAGGTGGGCTGGGTCTTTCCGGTCAGGTCGGGGCCAGGCCAGAACAGGTCATTTGCGTTGGGCTGGATGGTCAGGCCCAACCCAAGTGACTGTTAGGGCTTACGTGGCGTAGTGAAGACCAGGACGTGGTCTTTGCCCTAGGTCAACTGTCCCGTGATCTCCGGAAGGTGGGCTGACCTGCTCTTTCGGAGGTGGGTAATTGTCTGATGACGTGTCCTCGCAGAGGGGAGCACGTGGAGAACGTGTGGAAAGGTCTGAGGAGTCATTCGGGCAGACAGAGGTGGCTGGTCGGATGCAAGCGTCCTGCCCGACTAAGAAGGAGAGGGAGACTGACTGGTCGGACGCGAGGGTCCTGCTCGACGGATGTGGGCCTGTCCGACTAAGGAGAGGACAAAGGTTGGCTGGTCGGCAGCGAGGGTCCTGCCTGACTAAGGAGAGGACAAAGGTTGGCTGGTCGGCAGCGAGGGTCCTGCCGATTAAGGAAAGGACAAAGGCTGACTGGTCGGCAGCGAGGGTTCTGCTCGACGGATGTGGGCCTGTCAAACTAAGGAGAGGAAAGGCTGGCTGGTCGGCAACGAGGGTTCTGCCCGACTAAGAAAAGGACAAAGGCTGGCTGGTGACAGCGAAGGTTCTTCCCGACAACGGGGAAAAAGGAGGTTGTCTGGCCGGATGTGGGGGCCTTGCCCGACAGCTGTTGGCATGTGCCCGATGGGGAGGAAGGTTATGCCCGACAGGTCTTCTGCCCGTCAGCGTGGTTCAGACGGGTCCAACCGCAGTGGGCTTTAGGTCTGCTAGGCAGTGGGCTAAACGTCGGCCCAGTCCAGAACAATTACATTGTTACATTGTTAAACAGAATCAAACAAATCATTATGTCAAATAATGATAAATGGCGTTAGAAAACTGAGGTGGATTGTCCTCTTCATCACCTTTTTCGTTATTGAAACATAGTTTATTTTACCTCAATCTAAACCTAATGTCAATAGTGTAAAAAATCTCCAAATTGAAACATAATTCGTCTCCATTAGTCATGAGTGCTGCCTGCGGTTCATCATTATCGAAAACTAGAAGTGTTTCACAGGTATTTAGCAGCTCTAATCTTCTATGAAAATTTTTTTGTCGTTGTGGAGACACTGCTTTACTTCGAAGGGCAAGAAGTATTAACAATTATAAAAAGTTTTTTTTGGATTGTAAACATTTTAGGATAAACTTTACTTTGAATATTTTAGGTTGAAATATTGTTGAAATGTCTTTTTATTACATTGTAATTTTCTTTCTTAATCTCTACATAAATATAGTATTGTTAGTTGTGGATTATTTGAATAGTTTTATGAAGAAGTTAGAGATAAAAGTGAGCAAATCATGATGAAGCAACAAAGTAAGATAGATGTGCTAACTCAAGAGATGGAGTAATCTAAAAAAGAGGTTGATGTTTTCAGGTTCAATAATATGAAACTAGAAACTGCTTCAAAGAACACCATCTAGTGGGAAAAAAATTAAAAGTTTATATGTTCTATGTTGTGTTTTTTGTTTTAGTATTTAAGATGTTGTAATACTTCTTATGTACCAATTCAGTTATTTGACATGATTGTGTTATGCATAATGTGTACCAGTTTAGTTATTTTACATAAATGTGTTATATAAAAATTGATTTTGACATTATTTAGTTGCATTATTTCAAATTTGCAGTGTTGAAATTTGAATGTTATTTTACATGAATATTTTAGAGTGGCTTCTTATTAGATAATTATGTAAATTTTTTATATTGATGGTATGTGTCTATTAAACTTAAAAATATTACTATTAAATAATTTTAATTTTTAAAATAATATTTGATTATAATATTAGTTTTATTTTTCAATTATTTTTTATTTTGATTGAATTTTTGTTTGAATTTAGATTTTCTCCAATATGAATATAAATTGAGTAGTTGAGATATTAGACTCCACTCTAAACCTCTACTAGAATTGCTCCGTTCATATCAATTTTTCCTTCATTTATATTAATTTTCTTTATTCCGTCTCAATTTTACTTCATTTTTATCTAGTTATTGAGTAATTGAGACATTAGATATGATTTGTATTTACTATTTGAAATATATATTTGAATTTCTTTAAAAAAATACATTATTTTATTATTCATAATATAATTTAATGTCAAAAAAATTAATTTTTTATTAAAAAATTATTTCAATGCAAGATATAGCTAAGGAGTAGGAGTGGCAAATACATATCTCCGTCTCATTTAGGCTCGCATATAGGTTTGCGTAGTAAAAGTCTGTAAAAAAATGAGGCGGAACAGGACGAACATAGTTGAGAATGTGGACCTAATACTTAGACCTGTTCTGAAAAAAGTGAGAGGGAGGCAGGGAAAAGCCTGCGGACACGGTAACTTTTAAGATTAAAAATTAAAAAAGTTTTAAAAAAATTAAAAAAATTATGTAAATACTCATATTTACAAAAACTCGTGGAAAAAACATGATGGAACGGAAAATACACATTAGAGGGTGGAGGTATAAATCCTATTGAAATATATTTTAGTTTAGGAGAGAGAACGGATACTAACTAGAGTTCAAATGTGTTAAAACTTGTATCTACCATGTTACCATGTCTATTAATATTTGTTCATATATAATGTTAATTTTATATTAAAATGCATCCAATTAAATTATATTTAACAATAGATATTTATTAAAACAGATTTAAATTAACCTAAAAAGTAATATCATACAATTCTTTGATTGGATATGTGAGAAAAAAAAGATTTGAAATGTTAATTTCATTATGCCAAAATATAATAAATGTATTGAACTTATCTATTTTATTTATACATTTTCGAATCCCCGTTATGACATTTTATAACCTCGTTGACTTACACTAGTCAATCATTTATAATAAATCGACATTTTCCACTATTCTTGGTTTGTATGTATTTGATGAAATTTAGATGGATAATATAACATCATTCATTACAAACTAGTCAATCAATTATTTTGATTCCACTCTATTCTACTCTATACATAAAATTAATGAATATCAACTATTTCCTCAAATTCTATCACTTTTGGAAGAGTATTTTTAATTCAGTATGACATAAAAATGGTGATTTCAAATGATATATGAACAACCCAGATTCATAAAATTTACATTGTACTATAAACAAAAGTATTGTACTTGGATATTCATGAGTTAGTGGTACCAACTGGCTAGATTTTAAACAACTGAACCTTAATAAAGATCGTATCAAAATAACTATCTCAGTCAAAAGTTACATTCACCAACTTACTTTTCCCGAAATGATAACTTTGGTGACAAAAAAATGTGACAACAAGGTTCCTATGTCTCAAAACAGTTCACAGAAAAGAGGGTGATTGCATTTCTGATGTTTAATATTTCTAAGAGAGGAAAACAAAACACAAACAAAACAGAGAAAGGAAATTAATGTTGTCATAAAACATATCCTCAATGTCTGAACAAAATTAAACTTCAAAATTGCAATAACAAAGCTAAAACACATCAATCTTCGTCGTCAATAACCTTTGTGCCCAAACCCTTGAGCTCCTCCTTAGGGATCTCAACAACTGTAACAAGAGAGTAGAGCTCTTCCTTAGCATCTTCATCATCGTTTCTCTTGCGGGCAATTCGTACCCTGATTCTTCTAGGGACACTTCTAATCCCCTGGCTCCATATAGCCTTGTTCAACTTGACATCAACTCGAACATCATTGGTTCCCATTGCTTTCTGAGCAAACTTCCTAATCTCCTTGATTGCTTTAGGAGCTTTCTTCTTAAATGTGCTGTTTTGAATAACGAGGAAATCAATGACTACTAGAATTTCATGAAGTTAATACAAATAAACAATATAAACCAGACACAACAGCCTAAACTTTATCCATGAACATGTCATTTTCACTCGAGTGTAGAGGTAAAATAATACATCAAAGTCAAGAGACCAACATACAAAATAATGGGTTGCAATAGGGGATGTGAACTAAATTTCAACCAAAGTTTTAAAAAAAAGGCCGCGATCACGGCCGAGACAAAAAGTATCAGCACCTTCCATACCAATACCCATTTTTATGCTAAAGAATAAATTGTGGCTAATTCACTCTGCAACAATCACAATTGTTAAAACCTTTTTCAGCCACAAATATATACTACTAAAACATTTAACAAAATTAAAGAGTTCACACACCTTGCAACAAATGGATTAT